ATTAACGCAATCCAAATTCACATCGTATTATTGAAAGTTTTACAAAACTTTTTATAAGTATCAAAATCTCTAAAAGTGAAAAAAAAACTGAATGCTAATTTTTTTTCATTGTTTATTATGTTATTTGCATTATTAATTTGTATGGTGTTAACTCTGGACTACACAAATGCGTTCTTTATTTTGGCATAGACGGAAATATTATATTTAAAATAATTAGCATGCATAAAACGAAATACTTATCAGAAAATGAACTAACATACATATTATATATCACTACTGCCTAATTTACTATATTATATATCATTATGTAATTAAATTACTAAAGCTTAAGCATATTTGAAACGACGATATTGTAAACGCCTGTCGAAACTGTAATTAATATCAGAATTTTTCTTCTCCTTATTCAAATAATAACTAAACCAGTTTTAACAATAGCGATGTATATAAATTTGTGGAGATTTGTTTATTTTGACTAACAGCTAATTTTAAGTTGAGTTAGTTAAAGCAATTTTAGTTCAGTTTCTTTAGTTAAAACAGCTTTCCTTTGGCTTTCGTTTTCACCCACTTTTCCTGCCAGAATGCTAATCAGATACCGCGCATGTATTCAGATTAAGGTAGAAAAAAGTGCTATTCCTTTCTATAGCTCCTTCCTATTCTCCTTCTTCTATCTTCTATTCTCCTTTCCTATAACTAGAAGCCCTGGTTGGGAAGCGCTGGTTTACATGGAGAACGAATTTAGCTTTGAAGCACTCAGGCTTTATAGAAAGTAATCTAGAGCAGCGATTCTCAACCGGTGGTACGGTTACCACTTGTGGTACGCAAGAGAAAAATAGGTGGTACGTAAAGAAACAAAGCATTTTTAACTATTAAATCCACAAATCTTGTGAAGAAAAGGACAAATTTATGGAAATTTCCTGTGATCGAACCCTAACTGAAGATTTAAAAAATAGCATACTTGTTAAATTTTGAGTGAAAAAAGGAATTCAAAGGCATTTTAAATAAAGCTGTTAAATGTTTTTTTTTTTTTTTTTTTTTTTTTTTTTTTTTTTTTTTTTTTTTTTTTTTTTTTTTTTTCAGAACCTATTTATATGAACCAGTATTTTCTTCCACGTTTTATTTGAAAAAGAAATACAGAACAAAATTAAAATTGGATCCTAATTTACGGTTAAAATTAAGTGAAATAAGAATCAATCATAAAGAAATTGATCTCTCTTAAACAGGCCCAAATTTACACTTAAGTTTAGAATTAAAGTACTATAACTTAAATTTTGATAATTCAAATGGTAACCAATTTTTAATTTAATATTGCTTTATGTGTGCACATTTAATATAGCCAATAGGTTGAGCATATGGCAAAAAATATATATTTTTTAAGTATTTCTATTGAGAAATTGAAAAGTAATCATTGTAAAATGTAGTGGTAGTAATAGGGGGACCGGAAAGTAATGTCGCTTTTTTACATTAAATTGAAACGAATAAACTTGTAACAAGTTTTTATTTTTAATTAATAATATAATCACTTCGTTATCAGCAACCTTTTGCCATCTAGTATGCCGATTTCAATCCCAGACTGATAAAAATCAATTGCTTTAGGTTTTTGAGTAAAATATCTCGAGATGGCATTTTGGACATCATCCAAATTTTCAAATTTTTTGTCGCTAAGAAAATGTTGTAGTGGTCGGAATAAATGGAAATCCGAGGGTGCGATATCAGGCGAATATGGTGGGTGAGGCAGTACCTCCCACCCCAATTCATTATATTTTTCCAGCGTTAGTCTTGCACAGTGCCTTCTTGCATTGTCGTATTGCAGAATGACGCCTTTTCCGTTGACAATTGCCGGATATTTTTCGATTAAAGATTGGTTCACTAGATCCAATTGTTCACAAAATAGGTCTACATTAACAGTTTTTCCGAGTTTCAGAAATTCAAAATGAACAATTCCGAGAATACTCCACCAAACACCCAGAAGCGCCTTTTCGGGATGTAAACCCTTTGTAACCGCTATTAAAACTGCCTTTTGAGTTTTGGATTATCATATAGGACTTATTTTCCTGTGTCCACTAATCAAGCAATTTAAAAAAACGGTTCTGTATGATGCCGTTGAAGCAATACGTTGTATGTGATGGATAGGTTCGCTTTGTTCTTTTCGGACAGATTATGGGGGACTCCTGCTTTGCTTATTTTTCCATTCTGCTTTAAATGTTCTTGGATGGTCGACCTAGGTTGGTTAAGAGTGTTTGACATGGATTTGCTTCTACTTCTGCCTTTAGCATGTTGTTGCCGACATGCGCAGAAACGACATTACATTCCGGTCCCCCTATTACTAAAGTTTTTCAATTTTTGTATTAATCTCTGCTTTTTATTAAATGAATGTAAAAGTATCGGCATAATGTTAATAGATGATACCATTTAGCATTGTTGTTCTTAACAGCTGTTTGTTTTATTCGATTTCATAGCTGTGTCTTGAATTTCTGGATATTCATTCTTGAACTTGCAAACATATTGTAAGTTTGTAATTCCAACTTTTCAGATGGAAGCTGAACACAGATTACAGATTTTAAAATGTTTATGATACATTATATTTTTTAAATATTTAATATTTCTTTCTTTCTTTCTTTTTTTTTTTTTTTTTTTAGTTTAGACAATAATGTCAGGATTTTCAGTAAATGTTTTGTTTATCCTCTTTATTTCCTTTATTTTAACAAGTAATAATAATATTTAAAAACCAATGAATGGAAGTTGTTTGAAAGAAAATCTCGATTTATCTATTATACAGATTTTGCTTATATCCGTACGATACTTGTTTCTATCTTATTCATATGCTTTTTACGTTCCCTTTAAACTCACTGATTTTGTTTTGTTTGCCTTTATTTAAGGATGCATATTCTGATTAAATGTTAATCCCAGTTATCCAAGTAATTTTTGTTATAAAACCTTCAAGTGTTTGCCAGAACTTTTTTGGAACGGTTTTGCTAATACTTTTGTTTTTATCTTCTTTCAGAGTAAGGGATGTCAAATAAAACATTTAAAACACAAGAATTTTATGTAATTTAGTTTTGTGAATACAATATACATCGTCTAAAAAATGTGTGAACAGCCTCTGTAACAGTTATTCAAAATAAGGAAACAGACAAGAAATGCAGTCAATACTAAGCAACTAGGCAATCAAAAGTTACATCAGACAGACAACGTGCTGTAACAAAGACTTCAGTTTTAAAATTATGAAAATTCGACTTTTGTTCAAAGTATTTCCTTCATATAACGACTAAATGTATTTCAAGCAGCAAATAATTCTATCATTTTGACTGCGAAGAAAACAACGTTAATTTCGGTTTCTAGAATAGATTAAGGTGTATTATTTGAATATGGCAAAGCATATTACGTTATATCTCTCTAACAGGATGAAAACTTTCTCAGAGAATTTTTTACAAAAAATTAGTTTGTTTCATCAAGCGACCAAATACCTACGAAATTATTTTTTTCCCTTTCCTATTATAGTATATGTTTTGTGTCCTAAAGTAAATTTTATTTATTGTAAATTTATATTTAAGGTTTTTTGAAATATTGTAATTACCTTTTGTCTTTATTGTTCGCAAAGACACCGCCCTACTACGAGTGAGTAGTACACTGTAATGAGAGAACTTCTGCGGAAAAAAATTCGTTTAAACTACAACAGCTTTTCTTGTTAATATAGCAACGGTCGTCAGTAGTTTTGGAATGACTCGTAGCGTAGCACTATGCAAAACAAAAAAAGCAGCTCCCTATGTCATTGAACCCAATATTATCAATAGTAAATTTTATACTGAATTATTAAAGAAAATAATAAACTAACAGGAAAAAAACAGAAAGTTGATAATTACCCTAGTTATTCATTATTTAAATAATTTTTGTTTAGATAATAAATCTTTTAAAAACATTTTTCCATATATAGTATCTTATATATATATATATATATTATATTATATTATCTTTTATATAATATTTATATTATATATCTTTTATATATATATAATATATATATATATATTATATTATATTATTTATATATTTATCTTTTATATATATATACATTATCTTATATTATCCTTCATATATATGTATTGGTTTTAACATTTTCAAATTCTTTGTTGCATTTATATGATTATTTGAAATTTATTAATTATGAACATCAATTTCTGGTCTTTGTGAAATATTAGTTCTAAATTTATTACTTAATGTCTTTAATGATAATTTTTCTGCAGCTTAATGCACGAAAATACTAGGCAAGTTTGTGTTTGGTTTTCAAAAGAATTGTTTTGTAATTATATATATATATTTATCTTATATTATCTTACATATATTTATATATATTATCTTACATATATTTAATTATTCTTAATATGTATTTTATATAATCATAATTTTTACAGTTTTGATTTTTTAAACTACTCATGCTAGGAATTCATACTGGTTCATATCCTAAGATCAGTTTTAACAGTTTATTTTTTGTGAAGTTTCAATTAAGACTGAAATTTCTTGCTACTGAAATTATTTAATGCATCTCAATCTGTTTCATAACGCTCAGTCTGACATTTCTACTCAAAACTCAGGTTTATTTTTGAATTTTATAAAATAATTAAAGTATTTACTTTTGTAATTGAACAGAAACCTGATACGATGAAAGAGCATTTATTTACATTTGCCAAATTTTGTAACTGGAAATATCTAAAAATAAGAAAATAAAAAAATCTTTTCTTGAGTATGACACTCATTTCAAATATTAACCCACTGGCTACTCATACTCTTAAGTCGCCATAAACTTAATTTCTTCATGGGATCACATTTATTAACATCATTACATAAGCAATAGCAATCATATAGCTCAATTAGATGTATGTTCTTTAATTATTTAACATTCTTTGTTTATCATTATCTAAACTAAGTACTAATGTACATTTTTGCGATCTTAAACAAAACGTGAATGCCTTCCCAAAGGTATCCTTTGATACGATGTCACTTACTTGATACTTGGACGGAATCCGCATCGCAGCAGCCCATGGTTGATTGTAGATTTCAACTGACTCATCGATCTGTTCTCTGTAGACGCAAATCGGTCGATGCTTCCTGCCGTTCTTGATGGACACCTGCTTTTTGTTGCGCAGATCACGGGAACTTTATCTGGCCAATAGGATAAAAGCAAAGCAGTCCCAGTCGAATGCAAAAGAGTATTGCGTGAGATTTAAGATTCAGAGCAGAACAGTTGCGGAATTATAATAGGGGTCTCTACTGTTTCTTAAATCTCATTTTCTTTAGCCTCGTTAAATGCATTAAAAGTTTTTAAACTCTGTGTCATATATATCCTTTTCAGCTGCAGACATGTACATTAAAGTGCAGTAATGATAAAAAGTCTATAGCTTAAAGCGCTGCTGCTAATGAAGAATTGAATATATGTAAATAAGCATGAATGTAAGGAATTAATTCATTGTAATCTAATAAGAAAAAAGAATATTCCGACGATGTATTCCGTTACTGTTCTTAATGTATTATCATAAAATAATTAATATAATCTTACATTTATTCATACATATGACATAATTTACTTCTTTTGCATTCTAATGCAAGCTCTCATGACTTTTGTATTCTAACGATTTTCCAGTACTTTTCTTCATCGGGGCTGGTTTCAGAAATATATGTATATATGCATGCATGTATGTACATATGTGTGCTTGTACGTATGTACGTATGTCTGTATGTGTGTGCACACACTCATATACACAGAGGCATGCATTACATACATATATTTCTGAATCCGGTCCCGATAACAGAAGCGTACCAAATTTTCTTTAGGCAATCTTATACGAAGGCAGCCTTATCGTGGCAAATAGCCCGATAGGAAATAGTGTAATGAATTAAATTTTCTATTGTATTATTTTGATTTGTGATTTCAGAAACTAATTGTTTATATGACAAAAATAATTCAGTAAAACACTGCATTTTTCTGCTTTCATTAACTATTTAGATAATTAGAAAATACATATATGTATAAGTAAAGAAAATAAATAAGAAAACAAAATGCATCTTTATGCATCAACATAAGAGGAAACAGAAGATTTTCCTCCTTGAAAGAGTGAGACTTGTGTCAATTTCTTTCAAATTGCGAGCTATACCTGTACTTTCCTATATACCTTTATCGTTGAATTTGGCCTAAATTTAAAGTCTTTTTGTCAGTATTTTACATTTAGGCATTAGATTTGTACAGTCATTAGGTTATTTTTAAAGCAGGAGTGATTAAAAATGAGCAACGCTCTCGCCGGGAATTGGACCACTGACCTCTAGAATACCCGCCCAGTGGGCTGACAACTACACTACGAAGGCATGCTAAGAAGGCGGGAGAAATACCTTATATACTCCCCCTTTTGAAGGGCGACTGGGGATTAGGGGACCCAATCGCCAAATCCCGGTAGTGAAGAATCATCATTCATTTCCTTTTAGTTCGGGCGTCACTCTAGAGTCATTAGGTTATTTGTGAAACAGGAAGAAGTGAAAAGAGCATCACCTTCGCCGGGAATCGAACCACGGACCTCTGAAATACGCACCCAGCGTGCTGACCACTACACTACGAAGGCATAAGAAGGCGGGAGAAATACCACTACACTATAAGAAGGCTGGAGAAATACCTTATAGTCTGATTTCCAGATTGTCTTGAATGAATTATTTCTTTTGCGGTTTATCTGTGCCTCGTCAATGTAAGCAAGGCTCGTATACAATATGACTTTATATATATATATATATATATGTATATATATATATATTATATATATATATAGGTTTTATTTATTATATATTATTTACATATATATTTATATATATATATGTAATAATAAAATTCCATAGTCAAGAATACACTTAAAATTCTAACTGTATGTTCTTTTCATTTTTTTAATGGCGACGGTCTCTTATTTGAAAGTACGTAGAATTAAATCCACAGCCCCGTAGTCAAGTTGTTTTTCCCGCCTTTTCTACACGTACAGTTATAGAATGTTCTGGAAATATTTAAAGCGAATTGGATTGGCTGACGAGGCTGACGTCATTTCTTGGAAGCTTCGCCTTTCCAGAAGCTATAAAAGGACTCGCAAAGAAATATCGGGAGCTTTTCTTAAATGTAACCATGCAGTAAACCTTCATACAAAATGTTATTAGTAGTTCTTTTTTATTTACTCCGGATATCTGATTTTGTAACTGCTATTTCTCCTGACCAATAATAAAAGGATCCTGTTTTTTAAACTTCTCGTCTGATAATTTAAGCTACGCCTACATCTATGATTCTTCAACAATCTATTTATTCTGGACAAAAGCTGGTACATCATACACACACACACACACACCACACACACACACATATATATATATTATATATATATATATATATATAATATATTATATGTATATATATATATATATATATAAGAAAAATAAAGAATATGTGAAAGATTAAATTGGCAACGTAAATTTCCCTTCTTAATTCTAAAAATAGTAAACCCTCTCTGCACTGCGTCATTTCGAGACTGTTCTATGTCATATGATTCTTACGTAATTATGATGATGTAAATGGAACTAAAATTCAAGCAGCCAATAATAATTTTATAGCAATATTTACTATCCAATCAAAATGCTTTGAGAACCAAAACTAACTCAGTTTGACTAAGATTTCAACCTGAACATTACGCGTTTTCTATACTTTGGCCTGGCCGAACTGCAGTCTGTCTGCTCTTTCTTTCTTACTGCAAATTTATTTAAAGTGTAAAATCTCTTGGAATAGGCACAATTAATGGGCCAACTTGATTGTCGCCGCAACATGTTTGCTAAAATAAAAACTGAAGATTTAAATGTACCTTCGCCTCCAAATTCTGCTCGTAATTACTTCTAAGTTTGTTTCTGCTCCTGAATATATTACATATATATATGTTTGTATTTATGTATTTTTAGTACTCATTTAAAAGAGTTCAACATCTAAATATTGCTTGTCATGCTTGATAGTTTTCTACAAAAGTGTTTAGCCACTAATGAATTCACAAGATTGAGAGGGATTAAAAGTAGTTCTAAACCTCACATATAAATCAGACAAATATGAAACTGTTGATAAGTTAAATAAAAGGGTACTATCGTTCAAACAATATGTGATTTAAAAAATAGTAGAAATTCGTGAACTTTGTACATGCCTAATTTGCTTTAAAATCTACATTTAAGTTCATTTGTGATTTTGGGGATCATGCTGATGATTTTTGATGCAATGGTAGTCATTGTTAAAACTTCGAATGAATATAAAAGGGAAAAACCCATTCACTGTTGAATTGGATTGGATTTAATTCTTCGATTATGGCAAGACACGCGATACCTGCTTAATGAAATGGTGCCTTTTTGAAAAGATTCCAAGGGAAACTGCCTCATATTCATTTTACACATACAAAAATCCGTGACGACAACCATGCAGTCAGCCTGTTCTAGTAGTCAGCGATTTTGCTGCTCAAATCATAATTGGGAAAATACTGGTCTCTGATATTCTTACCTTGTACAACAAAGTATGGGAAAATATTCTACTGTTAAAGAAACAAGGCATCAAGCGTCGTCAAAAGAAATTTCTGCCGTTAATTATTAAAATTTTAGGTAAATGAAACGAAGAAGAACTGAGAGATAAGAATTATGAAGGCTGTAGAATTTTATCAACATGATTTAAGAACAAAGATCGGTAGGCTAGCCAGAAGAAAAGCAGAGAGAAAAAAATAAGATGAAGGGGAATCATCAAGAATGAGATACAGCAGAGCACTGGAATATGTCGATTGTGATTAAAATATACATCGGCCAATAAAGTAAATGTGGTGTCTTAATTAATTTCGCCGTCAACCTTCACAGCATTCGCCTATAGAGCATTCTGCATAGCATTCCCCGTATTACAAGAAAAATGTCAAGATGGTTAGCAAGCAATAAATAATAGTTAAATAAATTTAATTTTTGACAGCACATTTTGTAGAGACATTGAGTATTTTTTTGAAAGAAGGAGAGATGAAAAATGAGGAACGCCTTCGCCGGGAATCGAACCACGAGCCTCTCGAATACGTGCCGAGCGTGCTGACCGCTACACTGCGAAGGCATGCTAAGAAGGCGGGAGAAATATATTATAATTTAACCTTTTATTTAAAACTCCCGAAAAATATATTTTTTTAAGATTTATTACATTTATTTTTATTATCATATGCTGCCCTTATCGGTATAGTGGTTAGTGCAACTGGCTATTGTATCGTTCATTGGGTTCAAATCCCGGAGAAGGCATGGATGTTTGTAAGCATATTAACTTTGTACGGCAATGAAACACTCAAAATACATAGCCAGCCGAAAGCCCTTTCGGATAGTTTGATGACTGAATAAAGATGCTATTTCTTCTAGCGACGAGAGCGCTAGGCGGGCATTTCCGAGAAACGAGATTCTAGTAGCACTGGTCTAAACGGGAGGTTTCCGAGAAATGTTTCGTCTAGCTAGGCGAAATATGCCTGGGCTATGCGAAACATTTTGAAAATTTCCCCAAAAAGTTTAGTCTGGAGCCGTGTTCCATGTAGAGATCAACCAATGAAATGAATGTTCTGTTTCTGAAGGATCACGGGTAATTTTCAATATGGCGATGGCTCTCGTTGCGAAATTATGGACGATGGAACTAGAAGCCGATTTAATTGAAGAAATACGGAAAAAAGCCTACACATGTTATATATATGCGGCTTAAGTGTTTGTCGCCGATAGTTTATTGGTTGCTTGCGTAACTGTAAATTGTTTTATTCCCCGAGCAGTGCAGCGCGCGGCGAATATTATGAGAAAGCTAAGACGGAAAAATTAAAAATACAAGAGCACGTGCATTTAACATTTAAATAAATAAATTTAACATCTGTTTGTCGCCGATAGTTTATTGGTTGCTTGCGTAACTGTAAATTGTTTTATTCCCCATGCAGTGCAGCGCGTGACTAATATTATGAGAAAGCTAAGCCGGAAAAATTAAAAATACAAGAGCACGTGCATTTAACATTTAGTAAATAAATTTAACATCTATATAT